GGAGCACTGGTTTTTCTTGCGTCTTCTAATCAGCTCACCGCCCCATTATTGCGCCTTGAGACGAACAAGGTTTAATTGCGACAGTGTTCAAAAAAGCTCGGAATTACGAGAGAGAAAAAGAGAGAGTGCCTGAGGAACCGTCACACCGTTTTAGCTCCCTCATTCCCTAAGCATGAAAAGTCTAGCAACACATTGAGTTGGTGCTCTACTGCATGAGTGAGCATCGCCACACCTAAGGGAGGTAGGTTTTAGAGTTCTAGTTCTTCCATCGAACCAGTCGTTTTGAATGAGAGGACACAGCTTTGTCGTAGGCGTTTTCTGTCGATCCATGGCTGGGATCGACACGTACTACTAATATCACCATCAACTATGTCCTGAAGAGGGTTTGTGAGACACAAACCACAACGTCGTATCGTCCATCATGAAACCGTTCTTTTCTTCTGTTTCCTAAACTATCCACATCGTTCTGCACGGGCTACTGCTTAATGTACTATACACATTAACCGAAGTGGAAAATTTATAAGCATTTAGATCTCGATCCCGAGTACATGATATGGCACGACATGTTCATGATTTGCACCATTGGTGCTAACTTTCGTTTTGTAAAGCTTATGGTGCGACGCAAATCTTCATTTCTCTGCCATCACCAGGAAGTGCCTGATTTTGAAAACACTCTTTAGAAGTACAGCGTATAGCTTCTTGTTTCGCTCCCTAAAAAGTGGTGCTGGTTTTCTACTGAGGAAGAATGAAAAACGAATGTCCAGCATATACATTCATTGTGCGTACAGTGTACATTTCAACATACAGGTATAGTAAGAATCAGGTCTTGTCGACATCTGATGGTCAGAAACGCAACTGTAGCAAATGCTAAATCGAAAGAAATGATGCACTAAGTACATGGATCATATGCGGAAATTTGTACGGTCTGAAGAGAAAATATTCAATAACCAAAACAATCGAATGTGCTGCGATCAGATACTGAAAATACGCATATATCGGGCGACACGTCTAGTTTCACAGCTAACAATTCTTTGCCATTGATTGTTCAAAAAGCAATTTCAGGAAGTTTCTTAAATGTGGTCTCGTTCCTTCACCAAATGGAAGGACTCATGGGATGGATTCACGAGCCGTGACAATACAAGCTCGTAATTACAATTTAGCAGTCTGTAGGTTTCTCGTTTCTCTTGTAAGATCCTCATCACACATCCCAACCATCGAAACTGTGATGTCTCGATCTCGATCTAGGAAAAAGGCCCTCACAATCGAGACTCTCTTCCATTGCCGAGTTGGGAAAGTCGCTGAACCTCGCTTTTCCAAAACACTTTGAGGCACCTCATACATTGGTGTATTGGCGGACAGGAAGTGAACAATTCAAAATGCCGTAACCTTCAGGTTCGATTTCGACTCCGTATAAGCAATTACGATAAACGACGGTTGTTCACAAGATTTTGACAGGTGGGCATTTTTCATCGCGATTGCCATCTACGGCATGAGGGTCATTAGAAACGGCGTCGCCGGCCGACATTATGTATACATTTTTCTTCTGTCACTAAAACTCAACGAAACTGAGCAGGTAGGTCACTTTTGGACCGGCTGCCAAAACTATCCAAAAGGAACCTATTTGAAGTTCGATCTACGGGAGTGGTCCCTAAACTGCCGTTATGCAAATGCACTTTCCCAAATTTTGATTGAAGCAATGATACGCCTACGACTAAATATATATATAAATCCTACAACATACATGCATTACTGGAACAAGGCATTGCGGTCATGACATGGAGCTTAACTGACGATGAAAAACACCACGTGGAACAATGATCAGCGTTGTCAAGGGATACTGAGAAACACACGGTGCCTCATCAAAAGCCATTTCATTGAAAACGACCACTTGCTCCAATCTTCTGAAATAGTTTCTTTTAGATACTTCTCCAATTATGTCCCAGTCATTAGTGACAGTTGGATAAAGAGTGTTTGAGCTGAAGTATGCTTTTAATCAGGAAAACATTCTGAAAACGAGAGACTGGCTTTCTGAAAGCGTACAGCACAACTGAACTCAAAAGTGAGAATCAAACATCATTCATCAGGTCGCCTTGACGTGACAACTGAAAGTAACCAGTACAAAAAGTTAAAGGATGCTTAGCTATGTTTCTTATCACCACCTCCCTCAGTGAAATATATACAGTGTGATTGTGGTGCATTTCACTCAGTCACTCATTGACTTTCGAGGACCACTTATCCTTTTGGCACTCATAGGCAGATTCTTCAGACAGTGCTTTCAACGTTCCTGACCCTGCGCCGGAGTCTGAGTTTCGGCAGAAGTTATCTGGAGCCTCGAACAGAGTCCTTTAATGCACTTGCGACAGGTTTCGCATTGCCGTTCCCGAGATCTTCGCCCGGTTGGTTGAGCAATTAGTAGCTATTTCTCTTTCCTTGTTGAAAGCATACGTTAGAAGTCTCCAAATCATCGCAACTGTGACTCCTCAATCTGAAGAAACAGCGGTTGCACACCAAAGCTCTCTCGGATATTTGTACTACGGACCATGATCGCACGCGTGAGAAAGGCGATTCGTTCAGAAAGCTTATTTCAGCAGCTTGTACCCAGGTTCGAAGCTTTTCAGTCATTGTCCATGACTCATAACCGTTGGGAAGTATGGGATGACGATCGACTTGAACATCGCGAGGTTTGTCTTCAGACTCAGCTCTGCTTTAGTCACAGTGGTTCGGCTGAATGCCATTGGCTATTCCAATTCGCCGGTTGAACTCTTCCTCAACGTTTTGCATCATTGGTGAACATGACACCGAGGTTGGTGAAATTCGCCTTTGTGGTGCGTCTCTACGGAGCGGTCCAGAAAGTGGGAAAACAATACGCTTTGCCTTTTAGACACGTTCGAACGCACGCCGACCACGTCACCCTCATACGCGAACGTTCAAACGTTAAGCATTCCAAGGCAGATATCGCCGATTAGAGCAGCCATGTCCGTTTTCAAGCTTTTATAACTTCTGTAGCTTCATTAATATTCATTTCTTCTTACTGAAAGATTAATTCCATTGCCTGCTGCTCTTCAGGCGAGTCTTCCTATGATTTCTCGGCTTTAAGTA